GGATTCCAAATGTATAGTAGGGATAGTGGGTAGGTCGGGCATGGCCGACCAACCTGAGGCATAGTCTAGCTCCCGCTTGCGTGCCTGTCCTTGTTCTGCGTCCGGCTTGGGTCTAAGCCCAAGTTCCATTCCATGCTAGCTGGTGGAGTACCCATATCCTCACGTTAGGCCACCGGTATGCCGAAATAGCGCCAGACTCCGTTTGGCTCCGTTTTGCGTGTTGGTCCTGGCATTGGGATGCTGGTTGCTCCAGGACTGTTCCAAGTCGCTCCGGGCTCCTGTCCCTTCACTCCTTGGGCTATATGCTCGGGAGTTGCTCCGTGGTCCGGTTCCATCACTCCTTGGCTCCACGCTTGGGAGTTTGGCACCGTTCCTTCGTTCAGTGGCCCAAGGCCCTGAACCTCGGGTTCCTATGGACACGTGGCATGGACACATGGCATGTGACACATGGCATCTATCACGTGGCACAAAGAGGGTTTAGGTTCCGCTTCGTGGTGTTATCCTATGGTAAATCACCATAGGATAAAGGGTCAAAACCACGTGTGCTACACTTTCGCTTGGCACAACATTATAAAATGTTGCCTCTTCCACTTCTTGCACACATCCGTCATGTCCACTTCCTGTGAAAGATAGTCCTATTCCAATAGAGGTTAATGCTACTATTGCTCAAGTTCAAGGACAAGGGTGAGGATGTGGTTGTGGCCATGATATTTGTTGTTGGGTGTGTGATAAAGTTGGTGATACTTATCGGTATTGTCGGCATTTTCTGGATTGGTAGCCTCTATTTCCTAGGTGGAGACTATTGCTGAAGTCATCAATGTCATCTATCATCTGATTTGTAGACTATGACCGGGTGTCCATAGATCTCAAAGAAATATTGACGACTCCTCCAGTTTTGGCATATCTTAATTACGCTTGGCCTTTTATTTTGCACATAAATGTTTCTGATATTAGTCTTGGAGGTGTGTTGATACAAGAGCCTGACTGTGCTTGGTCAGCACTATCCCATTGCATATATAAGTCATACATTACAACTAACAGAGGTGAACTATTCCATAATAGAGAAAGAGTGTTTAGTAGCAGTCTGGGGTTTCAATAAACTTCATGCATATCTACATGGTTCTCGAATGTTACTAAAAGATGATCATACTACTGTTACTTCATTATTGAAGCAGAAAAACTTAATTCGTCATATTGCTCGGTGGGCTTTGAAACTTCAAATATATAATTTTGATGTTGTTCATCGCCCAAAGAGTTCTATGGCTGATATTAATACCTGTTATTCCAACATCTATAGATTTTCTAGACAATGATTCTGTGCCACCAGCAATTGTTGTACTTAATGTTTAGTGTCCACAAAGTGCAAAGTAAGATCTATCTTCTCTTAATGAGGTTCACAAGACTCAAAAGATTGAGCCGTGGATTCAAAGGCTTTGAGATGGGTTTGAGAATCTTATATCACTTATTGATGACTTGCCATTCTGGCATTTACATTCTCAATATCATATTAAAGACGGCTTTATTTATTTTGTGGGAATGGATTTTGATGATCATTTATGACAAGTGGTGCCTTCAATCTTTATTTCATGGTTTCTCCATAACTACCATGATTCTCCTATTCTAGGCATGCATATGGGACATTGTCGTATGACTAAGAAACTGCAGAGGTTTTTCTATTGGCCAGAAATATTACATGATATTATCTAGTATGTGCATAGTTACGTTTAGTGCAAAGCTCATGGCACTCCCCTTGTGCTATAGAAGGATGGTTGGAGTCAATTGCAATTTCCCATTCATTTGAGTTAGTGGCATTTAATCTTATGGGACCTTTTCCACAATCAATTGCTGGCAATGAGTATGTTAGTATTGCTTTTGACTATTTGACTTGTTAAGTGGAAGTTAGTGCTCTTGTTAATGCCTCTGTAACTGCTGTTGGATACTTCCTCCTCAATTGAGTGGTGTTTCAACATTCTTGTTCAGATTGGATTCTTTCAGATAATAGTCTTACATTTATGGTTGAAGCATTTTATGTTTTGACATTTTGGTTAGGGATACACCACACTTTCATAAGTGCTTATCATCCACAATTATACGGTTTAGTGGAACGGCTCATTTAGACATTCAAAAGGATGATCATAAAGTATATGAACTTTCAGTATTTGGATTGAGATGATTATTTGCTATCTCTTCGGTATACATATATTATAGGGGTGCAAAGTTCTATTAGTGCTTCACCATATAAACTTCTATATAATCATTATTTAATATTACTATTAGAGTTGGGTTTATTGTCATAATTGCCACGAACTACCAATGCTAAGTCGTGAGATTAGTATTTAACAAACATTCTTCCACTTGTCTGACTAAAGTCTACTGAACACCTAAACCACATACAAGTGGGACAACAATAGCACTATAACTCTTATCATCATTCACTTGTAGAGTACAAAGTGGATGATTTAGTGTTAGTCTATTTTCCCCATCTTACAATATATGGTTTATTTAAAGAGCTCCTTACTTAGTGGAAAGGATTGTATTAGATGTTATGACAAGTTGAATCTCAAGTTTATGAGGTCTAATATGATGTTCAATAGGCCAATCCTTCATAAATTGTATATATGCAATGGTTAAAACACTTTGTACAAAAGGATTAAAAACAATTAATACCACCTATAGATCCACTAATGCCTCATCCTAATGTTCTTCCAAATTCTAGCCTATCTATAAAAGAACATTAATGATCTTTCATTATTTTGAGATGAAGGGATGATGTGAAGTCCAAATGTATAACTATGATATTGTATATTAATATTAGTGTAATTAAATTTTAGTAGCCATTAAATTGATTTTAATCTCAACCACCCACTTTTATATATAATCTAGAATTTTGGGTTAATTGATATTTTTTATATTCCTTTTCCATATTCCATGCACTCACGGACATGCCAACAGTTTCTTGATTGTCCAAGAAATATAAATCTAAGGCTTAAGAATTAAATTCAAATTAAATGGTAATGAGGAATTGGAGAAGATGAGCTTTGCGTTCTTCTTGGCGAGGTTCTTTGAGCGACTTTGGGCGGCGAGTTTGACTCAATCCTTGGGGAAATTAATGGAGAATTCTTGGCAGTGGTTGGAGAAGTGCTTCTGGATGCTGCAATGCAATTGAGCGCCCAAAACATGTAAGATCCCAGTGCAGAAGTAATCTGTGAAAGAACTTACATTGGTGGAGGAGTGCGCTCTCAATGTTCTTCATCCGGACCCGGATGATCTGCAAGGTGGACGAGAGTGACAAAACCCTCTTCCGAAGGCCGTGAACTCGTGCCGAGTCTTGAGCGAGAAATGGCATCGGTGTATCTTCTAGCAACTTGTCGAGCACTAGAAAAAGGAAAACAACAGTTAAAAGGACTTTGTGACTCGGGAGACTACAAAAGCAATGCAAACGAAAAGAGACAGGCAACAAGAAAAAAGCTAGAGCAATGAGAAAGAAGAGACGAAAAGGAATTGCAATGCATCACCTCTTTTCAAAGGTAAAGTTGATCGAAGGGCACACCTCGAGTGAGGCGATCGATGCTGAGCGCCAGCGAGTCCTGGCTCGCCAATGCCGCCTCGAATTTGGAATCAGCGTCGTGGATCACGCCCTTGAGCACCGCCGCTCGCCCCGTGCCGATAACATCCACCGGACTAGTCCCACTGCTCTCCCCTCGCGCAAAAATACCAGCGGAAGATCCATCGTCCCCAGCTCCTCCTGATTCCGACGCAGTAGCGCCTCCGTGATCAAAATCTCCCTCCTTTCTCTGTATTGAGCTGATCTCCACATTGGGATCGCTGTAAACCCTAGAATTCAAAGCCATGGGATCCAAATCCCCCTTTTCTTCCAATCTGTTACTCCCAGATCCTTCATCGCCACCGCCGGAACGATCACCTTCCGGATCCATCCGCTCACTGCCATAAACCCTAGAATCCATTAAAGTTTCCTTTCATTGTTTTTCCTTTTATCTTTATAACAGACACTTCACAGAAGAGTTTCTCCTCTCAAGTCAAGCTCTTCGTAGCTATAGTATCGATCTTTCCTGTCAAGAAGGAAAAAGAAGAGCGAAAAATTTTCTCTATGGTTTGTAGCTCTATCAATCAATCAATCACTCGCTACATACCTTGTCCCTGAGGCTTGATGGTGAGCTCGGCTCTCAAGTGGAGGACGTTTTGATGGAAGTAATCGCTGTCGTCCTTCATGAGCTCTTGCCACGGGCACGAGAAGAGGTTCCTGTATCCTACAGCCTTTCCTCCGGTGAAGACGTAGTTCCCCTTCACTCTGGGAGCAAACTTCCACTCCTCCTGCTTGGACCGTGCCGCGAACTCGTACTCCACCGCAAAGCTCACCGAGCCTTTCTCTTGCATCCCCAGGAACAATCCAAAGCAGTGAGCCGCGGTTTGCTGATCCACGCTGCAGTGGGCCGAGAGGAAGAAGCACTGGCCCCCGAGATGAAATGCCTGAGAGTAGACTCGTCCCTGTGGCCACAGCGTCAGGCACTCTTCCTTGCGGAGGTCCAGAAAAACCAGGCACTGCTGATACGGTGCGTCGAACTCCACCACCTTGACTGGCCTGTACTTGTAAGCCCGCTCGCTGAAACGCTTGTGCACGATCTCCTCCACCATGATGTGCTTCTGGCGGTGTGGCGGCTCGGCCTTGAAAGACAGCGCTTCCATCACCAGCTTCGACGCCAGGTCGTGCTCGATGTCGTTGCAAACCAAAACCTTTCGGAGCTTCCGGCTGGACATCATTGGGAAGCGAATGAGCCACACGAGTTTGCTCCGGAAGATCTCCCGTCTTTCCTCTATCTTGGCGTAGTGCGCTCTGGCCCACTTTAGCACAAAGTCGTAGACTGCATCCTCGGACGCAACCTGGAGGTCGTCACTGGATAGCACGGCCTCCAAACCGGCCAGCGGTAAATGCATAACGTCCTCATGGAACCTGCGAACAGTAGTAACTTATAGTCACACCATAGCGAAGATGAACTCCAAACCTTCCAATGTCTTTGTACCGATCTGCCAGGAATGCTTTCGCAGCGTCTGTGAGTGACTGAACCGCATCAGGCAGAAGCACGGATGACGGCAAGTCGAGGTACACGAGTGCCGATTCGGGAGTCATTTGCAACTCTCGTAGTAATCTGCTACAGTGCCGCATGCACGTTGCGACTTCAAACTTATCGGCCGCAACCAAAACGTCGAGCAATGCCGGAGCTGTGTTTGCCTGCAAGCCGCCAGTGTACATAAATTGCAACATGTCCATTACTGGCACCTCTTCTGCAATATAATGGCCAGCTTATATAACGCCGTGGTGCGCAGGTCATCGAGCAATGTACCTGAATCGGTAATGCGCAAAGTAACTGCCTTTTGCTCCGACTCACGCATACCATTGGAAAAGAGCTGCCATAAGGTACTTAGAACAAGAGAGGAGAAAAGGATTCAAAACAGCAATCCCAACAACGTACTTTGTAGAAAAAACGACTCTTAGCAGCGAGAATTGCCGAGCTGATATGAATCGTTTTGACCCGCAACACAGTTGAACTCTCTGAATTCCAGGAAGAGGTGCTTTGCATCTGATCCTGGTCTTCCGCTGTAAAAAACCATAGCTTCTTCGTTCATGTCAAGATCAAAGGACCAAGACTTACCTGGTGGACTTCCAGCCATTGACGTAGGAGACTCCTCGATCATGACGTCCCCTTCCTCTTCCGCGTCGTCTGGCTCTGGTTGGGTTCCAGTCATAATTTGCTCCTCTTGACCACCACCAAGACCCACCATCACGCAAACATTCTCAAATGCTGTAGAAGAGAAGAAGAGAAAACAATGTAAGACAAAGAACAAAACAACCATCAACGAGAAATCCACAACTAACAAACACCAAACGAAAGATAGAAAGAAAGGCAAGAAAAAAGAGTACCTTTATCCTTGGCATCGGCTCCACGCCTACGCTTCTTCTGCCGTGCCCAAGCACCGACTGTGGAGCAAGGCTCTCCGGAGGACTTCGCCTCTCCAGACGCCCCCGCGACAATCTCAATGTGGAGGACGCGATCCGAGAAATTACTGTCATTGAAGGCAAATGCGAAGCTAGGACTCGTCCCTCCACTGCACGTATCCGTGTCCATCAATCCAGCCTTAGAATCCGATGCCACAATCCAGCAAGATCAGCGCCCGGACGAAGCTCGATTCCTCGGCAATTGCCCGAAGAGAAGGAGCGCAACTTACACAGCCGGAATCACCGATGCAGCTCTCATGTCACCACGCGCGGCATCGCCATCGCCGCTACGCCCCAACGCTCCACGAAGAACTAAAACCCTAGCGCGCTTAGCACCAATGTGGGAGAGCCCGGGGGCCACATACGGTACACGTGGCGCCACCGTCCCCGTCCAAGTTGGGCTACTGTTAAAGAAGGCTGGATATTCCGTGCGCTATAAAATATACCCAGCCCGCCACTTTTGAAAAAATGGAAGGAGGGCCCGTCAAGCCCGTCAAGCCCGTCAATCAGGAGCTATGGCTATGGCGGCCATGGCGGAAGCAGCGGCCGCGGCGATGGAGGCCGAGAAAAGCGAGAAAGAAAGGAATGGCGAGCTGGAGCTTGATCTAACGCAGCGGGTCGAGAGCGCGGTCACTGCCCGCGCGACTTACATCAAGGAGCACGCTGAGTAAGCTTCTCTTGTCTGTGGAAACCCTCTTTTTCATTTGTTTAGCGATGATCTAGGTCGCTCACGATGGTTAGCTTCCGGCGCCTGCTGGAGGAGGATCTAGGCCTCGAAACCACTGCGCTAGATCCTCACAAGAAGAAGATCAAGGAGCTAGTGGATCACGTAAGTTTTATTTTCGTTTTTTGTTTCGACGGATCGTCATTCTTTTTTTTTTTGCTCATCCCAGATCATGAATGCTGATGATCCAGAAGTCACCGAAGCTGTAATCAGAGATGCTCTCGCTAAAAGGAGTTCTTATCTCAAAACCGACTCACGGTACGTTTATTTCGCGTGGTTTTCTTCCTTTGCTCTTATCCTTCTTGTGACTCCTTTGCAGGAACATGAAGCTCGAACGAGTCAGACGTCTTTTGGAGGAAGATTTGGGTCTACAAAATTTTGCTCTTGACACAAAAAAGGAACTCGTAAAGTCTCTCCTTGACGAGGTTTGTAAGATCCTTTTCTCAATGTGGCTTGATAATTTGTGTTTTTCCAAAAGGTTCTCAATACTTCGGATGTTACTAAAGAAGAAGAGCATAGTGCTTCCGAAGTGGAAGCGCTGGAGACGGAGACAGGGACAGCCGCAGAAGTTAACGAAGAGAAGAAAAGAAAGCTACAAAGCGCGGAAAAGTCGAGAAAGAAGAAAAGACTCGTTAAAAAGCTGGAGGAAACCGATGAATCTGAAAGGGAGGATTCAGAGGAGAATAAACCCCGCAAAAGGAAGTCAGGAAAGAAGAAAGCAATCGTAAAGGATTCCGAGGACGAGGACGAGGATGAGCGAAAATCAAGCAACCCAAAATCGAGCAAGGATGAAGTACACGCAAAGAAACCAGAGGAAACCGAGGCCGAGGATACAAAGGAATACAATACCGATAGTGATGAGAGTCCTGCGAAGAAGACGCCAAAGGTATAGTTAACATTTTTACTCGTCTCTCGCTTCAGCTGTGATCATTCATCTATTGCAGAAGAAGGCTGCGAAAGCGCCGGAATCAAAACCGGTTGTAAGTAAGGTCGTGGAGCAACTAAAGCAGATGATCAAGGCCTCTGGAATAAAGTAAGTCATTTGTTTGTGCTGCTCAAACAACACGGGTAATAATTTGTTTTTGTTTTCTTCGCAGTATCCCTCCTTCCGTTTACAAACGGGTGAAGCAAGTGCCAGAGTCAAAGCGGGAGAGTTCGCTGATTAAAGAGCTCGAGAGCATTTTGCAGAAGGAGGGATTGAACAGGAACTCATCGGAGAAAGGTAAATCAAATCCAAGACTACGCATGTCTCTTATCTGAGTTGTGTCCCTTGTTTGTAGAGCTCAAGGCCGTGAGAAAAAAGAAAGACAAGCAAAAAGACCTCGAAGGAATTGATGTAGGTAATATCATCACAGAGGGGAGGGGGAGGAGGCAAGCAAACTTGTTTTACGAGCCACTCCCTTTTGCGAAGAAGAAGAGGAACAAGACCGTTCTCTCTGACGACGAGGAGAGCAGCAAGAGCGAAGGTAAGTCGTCCTGTTTTCCTTTTGCTACTTTGGCGAGCTTTGTTTCATGCAGAAGAGAAGAAGCAAGGCGGCGAGTAAGCATCTGCGGCGTTCCCATCGATGAATTCCATAGCTCGTGCCAAAGAGTTTGAAGAGATTTACTCAATCATGGTAAAGACTATAGCTCAATCGTAACTTCTCAAAGCCTAAGCTTTTTGTTTTTCAGGAAGTTTGATCCAATCGAGACCTTGTATTATAGCCACAGAAAATCCGACCCGAAGTAAAACTTTGAACTTAAAGCTCGGAAGAATATCCTAGGGTTTAGGGAGTAAGATCGACGCGCTCTTAAAACTCCTCAACAAGGATGCCTGGGCACAGATTCTAGCAGCTCGCACCGGAGGCGAGAAAAATCCCCTCGCTCCTAACGTTTGCGGTGATGAGAATGTACGCAAAAGTTGGCAGCATCCAATGCTTTCGAGAATGAAGGCTTGGACGACGATGCTCCTGGCGCTGGCCAAGGAAGGAGCGCCGCCGGACGAGGACACTTACGTTCTCGTCGCTCAGAAATCCAGGAACATCACGGTGGACGAAGCCAAGGAACTGCAGAGGCTAGTCCAGGAGAAGATTGGGGTGAGCGCCAAAGTCGGGCGGAGAAGTTCGGAAGTATGATCCTTGCTCGGGTGTGCTACGATGCGATCGAGGACAAGGTGGTATCGGCGATGACCAAGGGATACCTGGCTCTCAATCAACACAGGGGCGCGAACGACATTGCTCACGACATGCTGGACAAGGGGGGTGGATGGTGCCGCTCCAGGTAAACGTGGTTATCGCTGCTGCAAGTCTCAGAACGATGCTCCGCGGACGCAGCGCGTGGAAGAGATCATCATGAAGATCTTGATCCGCTGGGAACCGGAGCTCACAGGGAGTGGGAGGAGGCCAAGCGGGTGAGGAAGCTCATGACGGACAGGGGGATCAAGAAAGAGCCCGGCAAGAGTGATCAGCATCAAGAGCACGGTCGCTCGCACCCGCACACGATGGAGATTTACGCCGAGGTGGACAGGATCCAGGAGATACGTTCTTCATGACGTTCCAGAGGACAAGAGGGCGATGGCTGCAGCCACTGACTTGCGGGTGTGTGGAGACTGCCGATCGCGAGTGGGAGCGCTGGGGGATTAATTAGGTGCCATCTCATCGCCCTCCACCACAATCTCACGAGCTGGAGCAATCCACCGTACGCTTTGATTTAAATTTTAGGGTTCTTGAACATGCTGACGTGTCAGGGCTTTGAAGCTGGAACCGTTGCGAGCGTCTCAAGGAGCTGCTCTGCAAGTGCTTTTCTTCCACTCCGCCTCCTCGACTGCGTTCCGATTCCTCAAAGAGGGCCCTTCGTTTGACGGAGAGAGGGCTCGAGAATTCCTGGATTACTAGTTGTTCAAAGATAAAATCGAATACTCGGCACTCAAAAAACGAATATGCCGCGGACTACGATCACTCGTTTTGCTCGTCGTACTCGCAACGTCAATGTGGAGTCGATGTCCCGCTCTGTAACTTGCTAAGGCTCGTCGATGGTTCTTCCCCATTGATCACCTTGTTGGAGTTGGTAGCTCGAGATTCCTCCTTGTGAAGCACCAGAACTGAGCTTTCACTAGCGTCATCCATTTCACACAATCTGTCTGCCACTTCCCAATATCCTTTCTGCAATGACAAACTGTCATTAGCACTGCCAAGAAGTATTCAGTCATGACAAACCTGAACCCATTCGTTCCAGGCCACAGGGTCAAGTTTTGACACATGCAAAGTCTCAGGAAGCATGACTAGAAACTCGTTGGGTGCAAGCCGGTGCTGCATGCAAAGAAAGTTGGTCTAAGAAACAAGACAAGGACAAAATGTACCTCATACTCAAAAATCTGGATATCCAAGGCTTCCGGGTCCGCCTCAGACAGCACCTACAAAAAGATTTGGGTGATCCCCTGAGATTCAAGAAAGAATGTAAGGCTTTACCCGAGCACCAGCAGGTCCAGCAATAACAACTGAGAAGCGTCCTGGACCAGCAACAAATATCCGCTGCTCAGCGATGGCCACGAGAGTTGTGTTGTTGCAAACATGCCACTCTTCTGGCTGTAATCACAGCAAGGAATCCCAAATGTGATATAACCAACTCAACCAAACCTTGATGTTCTCATTCCAATATCGATCCTCCTCCTCCTCCTCCTCCTCATCAGAGGATGAGTAAAATGGGTCCTCTTTTGCCGCTTTTGCCTTTTCCTCTTTTGCCTTCTCCTTTCGTGACAGTGCATTGATGCGTGCCTCCTCGATTCTTGGAGGTACTAGCTCGTCGACGCTGCAACGAGTAATCTCATCAAATCGGTCTAAATGGAGCACGCATACTGTTCCATGAGGTACCGAATCCTCGCTTCAGTTAGCCGGTCTTCGTTTGAAAGAATACGCACGCAGTGCTTATCGAACGAAGAAACATTCCAGAGATAAAGGTTCATAGACGCTGGGAGACAAACAGAGATGAAACAAAGATACAAGAATCACGACACAAACTTACCCAAGTTTTTTGTGCGTGTCGTGTTAACCACTGCAACCAGAACCTCTCCTTCGTCTTCAAGCTGGAGGAGTTCAAAACCATACTGGAAATAAAAAATTACTAGAATCAAAGAGATGAAAAGAATTGAAAAAAATGCTTACGGTATACTTGAACTCGCCCTCCGGATTCTTGCGAGCCACAGCGGTTTCGAAAGGGCCCATCAGAACCCTATTCGGCCCATTCCCCGCAATATGGTTGTTATAGTAAGTGCTCACCTACAAGAGAGGCATCAGCTCGCTCTCTAAATAACAACACTGACCATATTAAGCGGAAGCTTCCTTTGCCCTCCCGATCCATGGTCAGGGATCCCTGGTGCAGATCCTCCACCACTCGTTATTTTCGATTGCCCGAATCCCATCGCCATCCTTAAATGAAGAACCCTAAATAGAGTCTTTGCCCGGTGTTAAAAACACTTTAAAACGTTCGCTATTTTAAAAAGTTCCAAATTCGCCTTCTTCTCGAACAGAAGTTGCATGGACAATATCATTATTAAATACTAGAAATTGCCAGGAGCTGGCCAGTCAAGGTGACCATTTCTAAAAAGAAAATCCTTGATTCCGTTGCTCCCTTTTATGCACCATTGCTCCCACTCAATCAGATCCCCCCCTTTTGTTTGTGAGTCTGCTGGAAAAAGCCAGTGGATTTGTGATATTGACCTGGCAATAAAACAAAACCTCTAAGAGAGTCGTTGCAAGCTGTTTAGCACATACCTAGTCTCTTTATTATGACAGTCAAGATGCAAGTGAAGAACACAAAGGTAGCACTGAGCAACACCGAGCAACACCTGGAGTGGGAGATGGATGTGATAGAAAAGAAAAATGCTTACATGTAATCAATAAAGTATTTCTGTACACAGTGTTTATTGTGTAAATAGACAAATCTAAAGGTAGAAGCTGGCCTTGTTCTGCACTTTGATCCCGAGGCCAGACAGATATGTACATCTATAGAGCCACATATAACTGACCACTTCTCAACATTTTGAATGGTATCTCAGTATTGGAGGGTGACAATGTTATTCAAGGGATAAAAATGCTTGATCCTTTGAATTGTCCTCACATGCGTTTTTAAGAAAGAAGGATGAGTAGAGCACCTTCTTTAAGAATTAATTTATGTGGAAGGAGTCCAGAGGGTGTAATAAAGTTTAAGGAAAATCTTTTGGGTGTTTTGTTTCTGTGTCAACAGAGTCAATACTTGTAATATATATCACCTTGTAATAAAGAGATGAAAAAGGTTATAGAATTGTTAATTGGAACTGTATCATCATTGAGTGGGGTAAGAATAACTGGGGGTTTGAAATATCATTAGAATTTTGAAAGATAATAAGATAACTTTAACAATGTTTTCAAAGGTAATTTAATTGAAACAATAGAAAGTAATGGGTATGGAAAATAATTATTTCCATCTCCAATCATGTAAGTTTCATATTCTTTTTAATTGATAGTTTTGTAAATGGCCACAATCTATATATCTTGACAGAATAAAAAATTATTAGTGCTTAAGAGACCATGAGGGACAATAAATAACATTTTTCAAAAGTCAACATTGAATAAATTTATATAAGCTTGAGTTTTGTGATGCAATTTCTTTTGATCTATTGCTATCTTAGTGGCTAAAATTTGAAATGTCATAGGTATATGAAATTTTAATTTCTTTTATAATATATATTTGTGAGTGCATGGAACATGGAAACAGAATATAAGAAATATGTATATCAATTAGCCCAAAACCCTAACTTATATACAAAAGCAAGTGGTCCAAATTGAAATCAATTTGATAGCTACTAAAATCTTATTATGCTAATATTAGTATATAGCATTGTAGTTGTACACTTGAACCTCACATCATCCCCTCCTCTTAGAATAATGGAAGACTGTTAGGGTTCTCTTATAGATGGGCTAGGATCTGGAGGAACATTAAGAAGAGTCATTAGTGGATCTGTAAGTGGTGTGAATTATTCCTGATCCCTTTATACAAAGTGTTTTAATTGTTGTATATACATAATTTCTAGAGGATCGGCCTGCTAGATATCATGCCAAACCTCATAAATTTATAGTCCATTTTGCCGCAATACTTGATATAGACCTTTCCATTGAGTGAGGAGCCCTTTATATAAACCATATATCATAAAATGGGAAAAACAGACTAACACCAAATCATCCACTTTATACTCTGTAGGTGGACAATGATAAGAGTTATAATGCCATTATTGTTCCATTTGTATGTAGCTTAAGTGTTCGGTAGACTCTACTTGGATAAATAGAAGAATGCTTATCAAATATTGATCCCATGACTTAGCATTGGTAACCTGGGGCAATCACGAAGGTAAATCTAACTTTGTTAACAGTATTGGATTATGACCATATAGAAATTTATATGATAAAGCATCAATAAAACTCTGCACCCCTATGACATACATATACTAAAGAAACGGCAAATAACCATCCCAACCCTAATATTGAAAGTTCATGTACTTTATGATCATCCTTTTGAAAGTCTGAATAAGCCATTCCACCAAACTATCTCACTATGGATAATAAACATTTGTGAAAGTGTAGTGTATCCCTATTTGAGATATCAAATGAAATGCCTTAGCCATAAATGTGGGACTATTATCTGAAAGAATTCACTTTGGATAGGAATGTTGAAACATCCCTCGATTCAGAAGGAAGATTCAATAGCAATTGTAGACACGCTAACAAGAGCACTAACTTCCACCCAGCGAGTCAAGTAGTCAGAAGCAATAATAACATTACTCATTACCAATAGTCAATTGTGGAAAAAGTCCCATCAAATCAAATACTACCAACTAAAATGGATAGGAAATTATAATTAACTCCAACTATCCTTTCATAGCACGAGGGGGAGTATTACAAGCTTTGCACTAAACACAGTTATGCATATGCCAGATAACATCATGTCACATCTTTGGCCAATAAAAACACCTCCGCAACTTCTCGATCACATAACAATGTCCTATAAGCCCATCTAGAATAGGAAAATCATGGTAAACATAGAGAAAATGTGGAATATAGATTGAAGGCACCATTAGCTATAAATGATCATTAAGATCCATCTCCAGAAAATTAAAAAAATAGTCCTTAAGGCAATATTAAGAATGCAAATGCCAAATAGCAAGTCATTAGTAAGTGATACAAAATTTTCAAACCCATCACGAAGCCTTTAAATCCACAACTCAATATAAACCTCATCAAGAGAAGGTAATTCTTGCTTTGCAACTTGTGAACATTAAACATTAAATATAGTAACCGCCAATAGCATGGAATCCTCATCCAAAAAATCCATAGATGCTGGAACAATAGGTTCATCAGAAAGGGGATGGTCCAAAGTTGAGTTGAGCTCACGAGTTGAGCTCAATTCAACACAAGTCAATGTAAGTCAATATAGTCAACTATAACTCTTACAAAGAAAATCTGTGTTAAAAAAATTAAGGTTCTGACAAACTTTAAAATATTAAAATATATGAATACCTAGGTCAAAAGTTTCTACTAGATTGAGTTATTTAGAAAATATTAAGTTCATGAGAACCTATCTATTTTCTTACTAAAGACTATCTTCATAACTATCATATTTTGATTTTCTTACAATTCATTAATATGAATCAAGATAAAGTTTTTGAAGGGTAGCCATTAATAGTGTATAATGGTAAGACAATATATATTTACATAAAATTCATTAATTCTAGAGTTCCTAAGTAAAATAAAATATCTGTAAGTACGAGTTGTAGGGCAAATCAATGTGAGAATATTAATTTCCTTTCATTATCACAATCTTCATATTACACTTCTAGTCCTTATTAGAATATAAAGACCATTATATAGTAATTCATATAAAAAACTCTACTTACTTGCCTATAGCACAATCCTCCTATATGAGAAAACTAAGGTATATTTTTGGGATGAATCCCCACTAGCATTTTTTGAGAGTCATTTGTGAACAATAATAATAGAAATCAAAATATTTTAAAAGACTCAAAAGTGATATCACATCAAAGAATCAAGTTTATCTACATTTCCAAGATTGAGAGGTAATCTCACATAAGAGAATGCATGTGGGCCCGTGTGCTTACATACTCTGCTACTATAATATAATTTATATTTCCTTATGTATTTTTCTAGAAAGTTCAAGCGTAGAAAAAAATATATATAGATGGTCATTAAAATGATAAATATTCTAGCATGTGTATCTAGAATTCTAGAAGCTCTTCTATTCATAAATAGACTATGATTTTGAAATCTCATTTCTGAGATTGATATTTCAAGAATCTGAGTATTATTAGTGTCATAATAAATAAACCTTATTCCCAAGACTAAAAATTAATATATAAATGCCAAAAAAGTTAGTTATTATAGTATTTTTATTATCCTTATGCTCCTAAGAATTTAATATAGAAATGGCTCAAAGGAAAGTCATTACTACTCGTCTATAAGTTCCTAACATCTCATATTAGTTTCTACCTTCATCCCTAAGGTTTACCAACATTCCACATTCATCTCCACCATAACTATATTACAATCTTCTTTCTATTAAAGGTTTTTATAAAGTCAAACTAAAGCTCCCTATATACAAAATTTTGAATATTGTTATTAAAGAGTGATTACCTTCAATGTTTCAAGAGCAGTGCCACATGTTTTTGCAAGATTTTGCTCTTGGTATGGCAAAACTACTTAAAAGCACAAAATGTTATTATATTTAATGTCTAATATGTTACTTTTTTCTGGACAAGACAAATGTCTTCATTACAAAATTTTCTTAAATTGCTTAACAATGGGCGTAGAAAGTGTGGATGTACAATAAATTCAAGAATAAATTATAGACATATACCCACTATTTCTTCATGGTGAGGAACAACATCCCCATGGGAAACAATGCATTAGCTAGTGTAGAATATGGGTTTTTTAGGCTATTGACAAAGTCAATGATGGGGAGTTTCCTCAAGTTGAAGTCTATTACACCTAATCCATAGAAGATCTCACTCTTGATTTAATGGGAATTAATGAACAAATTGAGAGTTTAATTCTAAAATGCCTAATATGCCTTTTTTTTCTTGGGTCAGGACATTTTTAAGGGCTTTTATAGTTTTCTTGAGCATTGCCACAACTGCTACATAATTAGTGTTATCACTTCATATAATTGTTGATAAGATATTGAAGGATGAGATGACAACACACAAACATTACAAATTGATGGTTGCATGTGAGAATACCAATTTGCAATTATGGAATATGATATTAACATTGATAACTAACATTGACACTATTACTGACAATTTGATATATGATAGGATTTTCTTCTCAAGTAAGGATTCATTTAAATTTCTTCTATGTCATCATCAACATGTCATTT